TGGCTGGCCCCCAGGGCCCCAGCCAGGAGGGTCTGTCTGTCCTGCTCTTCTCTGCGGGCGGCCGGGCGCAGATTGAGTGCAACAGGCTGCTGTGTGCCGGGGACCTGGCCTCGGAGGGCTCTGTGGCCTGCCAGATCATCCACGTGGCTTCCCACCGGCTGGACCAGCACTGGGAGAGGAAGAAGAACAGGCACAAGCTCGTCAAGATGGACCCAGAGACGAGGTGACAGTCAGGAAGTGCCCGAGGCATGGTTAGCAGTGATGGTGGTCCAGGAGGGTGCTGGGAACTGCAGCAGCCTGTGCTGGGATACCCACTCTGCAGGCTCAGCTGAGGCAGAAGGAGGTGGCTTGGACTTAGGTGCATGTCCCTGGTGTCCTGTGCCTAGTGGCTGTGCCTCTGGGAGATTCTAGGGTCAGGGAAGGAGTCTGGCTTTCCTCCTGCCTCCTCCACAGCTCAGAGCTGTGTCCCATGCTGAGCTCAGGATGCTCTGCTGGGCCACCTGCCTCCCTGGGGACACAGGTGTCACTGTTGGTGTCCATCATGTGTTGCAGGTACATGTCCCTCTCATTCGTTCCTGGGACTAACTCTGAGCAGCTGCCAACACCTTGGAAGTTCCTGGCTGCTGCCTGCAGTGATGGATCGGTCCGGTGAGGAGCTGTTGTGGGGCTTGGAGGGAGAATGAAGCTGGGGCTGAGCAGGACAGTGCAATGTGAGAAGTGGGGGTAGAGGCACCAGGAGCCTCTTTCTCCTGTAACTGATTGCCCTCTGCTCCAACCTAGGGTCTTTGGTCTCCTGGAGGCCGCTCGGAAGCTGGTGCTGGTGGCTGAGTCGTTCCACCACCAGCGCTGTGTGCTGAAGGTGGAGGTGTTCCTGCACACGCAGGCAGGAGGGGAGAGGTGAGCCCTGAACGCTGTGTGGGGACTGCTGCGGCTCTGGGGAAAGGTGTTTGTCCTTGCAGGGAGGGCAGTGGCAGCTCAGTGAGCAGAGGGAAAGGAGAAACAGGTCTGCAGGAGCTGTTCTGATACTTCTCTGGGTCTCAGTGGGACCCTCAGTGCTGCCTGCTGCAGGGCTGCAGCTGGAGGCTCCCCCAACTCCTCCCTTCTAGGAAGCACCTGCTGTGCAGCGCAGCCACCGATGGCAGCCTCGCCTTCTGGGACATCACCGGCCCCGTGGCAGAGGCGACGGCCGCCCTGCACCGAGCAGGGGGGGAGATGCAGCCCCTGGGTGGGTGCAGCTGCTGGCAGCTCTGCTCTGCCTCCTCAGGGTGGCCACACTGGTGGCTGCTCTGGTCACTCTCCTAACTGAACTTGTTTTCCCAGCCCTGGGCTCCCCGCTGCTCACGGTCATGGCCCACAGCTGCGGCGTGAACAGTCTCCACATCCGCCCCGTGCCGGAGGGACGGTACCTGGTGGCCAGTGGCAGTGACGATGGCTCCATCCACGTCTGCCTGCTGGAGGTGGCCCTTGATGGCCAGGTGCCAAAGGGAACCTGCCTGCGTGTCCTGGAGCGGGCAGCCAGGCCCTGTGCCCACGCTGCCCACATCACAGGGATCCGGGTGCTGCGGCCGGACCTGCTGCTCTCTGCCTCAGTGGACCAGCGCCTGACACTGTGGGGCTGGGGCCCTGGGGGGCTGGACCCCCTCAGCACCACGTTCTTCCATGTGCCTGACCTGGCTGAGCTGGACTGCTGGGAGGTGGCAGAAGCTGGGGGGGGCCTGCGGTACTGCTGTGTGCTGTGTGGGCAGGGCCTGGAGATGCTGCAGGGCACAGCACCCCCCTGAGCCCACCTCCACTGGAGGGTCCCCAGTACATCCTGCTCCCTGCCTGATGTCCCCCCTCGAGGGGACAGGTGTGCTTGCTCCCTTTGGGGACAGCACAGTTATGTCTGTGGTGCTAAAGACTGGTGGTCTCAGGGGAGAAGGCAGATGTGACCCCTCCTGGACAAGTCTGTGGTTCATCAGGCAGCCAAGGAGGAAGGGAGTCATCAGCCCATCCTGCCCAGGAGAAGTTCCTTTTCCCTGAGGCATGAGGGACTTGATGTCCGAGCATTCCAGCCCTGGTCCAAGAGAGAAACTTGAGGGTGCACCTGGGAACACCTGGCCCTGGGAACTTGAGGTCAGGTACTGGTGCAGCACATGGCAGGCTGCAGCCTTCTGCTCCCCGGGTCACACAGGGCCCTGACCCGCAGCAGGACCCAGCACAGCTGGAGCACAGGGGAGGAGAAATGGCTGCATGTGGCCTCAGTCCTGCATAGGGCAAGGTGTTCTGTGAGGGGTCAGACACACAGCATTTGTCCAGCAACAAGTGTATTGGACTCTGGTATTGCAGCCGTGAGCCTCAGGAGCTCCCTGGCAGCATGGAGCAACCTTCAATAAAAAGGTTTGAGGGAAGCAATGTTGGCACCTGGTTTTGTGGTGATTGGTCCCTTGCACTCACTCCCCAGTCTGGCTTGCAGGGTGACACAGACATCCTCCCTTCTGCTGGTGTGGATGTGGCAGGGCACCCCCTCCCATGCTGGGCACAGCAGCAGGGTGCAGGTACCCATAGCCTCAAACAGTGGTAGAAGCTCCTAAGTGGGGGTGAGGTGGGTCCTGACTCCCTGTCTGACAGCAGGGCAGCCCCCTGGCCCTGCCAGGGAGGACATCCCTTGCAGCACACTGTCCTAGTGCCTGCCAGAGTGTGGCACAGCTCTTCAGTGGTGGTTCAGATCTGGCTGAGAGGAGGGAGGTGCAGAGTGTCCAGGGCACTGTGGAACACATCCCTCACTGCTCCCAGCAGCCGCAGGCGGGCAAACATCTGCTCAAAGAGGTGGGGGAACGGCTCCTGCAGGGAGAAAGGCAGTGACTTGGGGCTGGTGGCCTTACTGCCCCTCAACAGGCTGTCCCTAGAGGCACTGCTGCCTCTGCACCCTGTGAATGCATCCCTGAGCTATGGGGCTGCATCGTGCCACTGGTGCCCCTTGCCCACACAGCTGCAGTCCAGCTCTGGGAGGGACTGCAGGCCTGGGACATCTGACTCACCCCTAGGATGTGGACCCGGTTGTAGTAGGAGCTGAAATCCATGCTGAGCTGGATCAGGAACTTGCACACCTGCAAGACAGACAGCTACTGCTGGCACAGCAGACTCTGACCAGTCTTGGACCCTTCCCCATCCCAGGCACAGCAGGAGCAGCCCCCACGTGCTGTGGTCTCTTCCCCAACACCAGCCTTCCCCCATGGGGCAGGGAGCTTTGCTGTGGGCTGGGACTGCTGGAGCAGCACGTGGCACTTACTGCCTCTGTGTTGGCTGTGATCCGGATCCCTTTGGTGGCTGTGGGCAGCTGTGCTGCCTGCTGCAGGACATCAGGGAAGGGCAGGAGATAGTTGAAAAGCAGGAGCCATTCACCCTGTGAAAGGATTATGTGTGTTGGAGAGGGCTGGATCCTCCTGGACAGCAGCAGCCCCACAGGCCATGCAGGTCCCTGCAGTCCCCATCTTGGCACTCGCCTCTTCCCGGAGGCAGGAGAAGTTCAGTTCTGATGCTGGTGGCAGAGGTGGGTATGTGCCTGGGAAGGAGGTGGGAGACTGTTGCTGTGCCTGGAGAAGGCCCTGTGGCTACAGGGTGAGGAACAGCCCAGGACAGAGGACTGTGGGGCTGGTGCTCACCCTGCTCCACAGCCTGCTGGTAGGTGTTGAAGAGCGTGGCCAACCGGGCACAGTTGTACATCACAAAGGCACCACTCTTGGTTCCCTTTGTAGAGATGCTGCTGTCCTCCAGGTCCAGGGTGATCTGAGGGCAGGGAGAAGTCGCAGACCAGGCTGCTCAGCACAGAGCTGCTCCACTGTTCCCATGGCTTGCCTGCCCTGGGTCTGAGCAAACCTTGTCCTACCTGACTCCGGTGGGCAGTGCTCAGCATCTCAAACCGGATGGCAGCTGCTGTGAGGGTGTCAATCACCTCAGTCCAGGCCTCATCTGCAGAAAAAGCAGGTGGCATCACACACAGCTCCATCCCCCATATACTGTCAGCCCCAGGGCCCCAGCAGCACCTGTGTGCAGAGCCACAGAGCAAACCCTCACCTTGTGCCAGCTCCCCATACTTCATCACGGAGGCTTCGTACATCTGGTGCCTTCGGAGCCTGTCAGGAACACAGACACTCACAGCCACCACCCCTGGGCTGAGCTGGCCCCAGAGAGTGTTCCAGGGCCAGAAGCAGCACTGCTGGAGGAGGCCACTAGGACTGGGGAGGGTCCCGTGGCCTCCATTCTACACCTCCAGTCCTCCTGAAACATCCCTGAGGCCACGGAGAAGCAGAAAGGAGGAATGCTCAGAACTCTGCCAACAGCTTGCTACACACCAACTTACTGGAAGTACTGGTCTGCCCCGAGGGGTGATGAGGGGTTTGTCACCTTCACTGGCCCACAGACAAGGTGTTTCTGAAAGAGAGGCTGTGGTCAAAGACTCAGAAACTCCATCTAAATGCAGTGCAGAAGCACAGGGTTAAACCCAGCCCTGTTCTAACAGTGTCCCTGCAGTCTTCTCCTGCTCCTCCTTCTTTAGCACTGAAATCTCGGGCAGAGAGGCTGCTCTACCACCTGGGCAAGAGCGTGGAGGAACTTCCAGGGGAAAGGGAAGCCTCAAAATTGGGCAAGGCTGGGTCTCAGCATTTGCTGCAGGGATTGAAGGAGGCTGGTGGAGCTCTCAGATGCTGGCAGCCACAAGTGTGGAGGTTGGGAGGTTCCTCACCTGCAAAGCTGTGTGGGCTCCTGGATCCAAAATTCTCCAGAGCAGATCCAGTTGCTGCTGCTGGAATTCATCCTCACAGTTCACCACGTGCACGATGCTGCAGCAGCTCCCCTGGCCTCCAGCCTGCAGCAGAGCACAGCAGGGAGCTCAAATGCCATCCCTCGTGTGACAGAAGGGAACAACATCTAGAAAGCAAGAGGTGGGCAGCGCTGCAGGGTTACTCACCATGCCCTGCAGCAGGGCTTGCTGCAGCTCAGCCAGGGACTGCAGCTTCTCCTCCGTCACTGAAAGAAGGAAGGACACTCAGGAGGGGACACTGAGGGCTCACCACTACCCCCAGTGTGCTGCCCCATCAGGTCTGCCCAGGCTGTCTGCCTTTCTGGCTCAAACCAGAGTGAAAGGGAGTAAAAGGAGAAGGCAATATGGATTGAAAAAAAACAACCCTTATTTTCTGGAAAAACAATTGGGCAAAGAGGAAACAGGCTTGTTTGCAGCTGTTTGCCCCTCCTGCTGTCACAGTAGAGCTGCTGTAGAGGTGAGGCTCACCGAGAAGAACATCGAGGTTGGGGTCATAGCCCACCAAGCCCTGCTGCTCCACAAAGTTCTTCAAGTGCACTTTACAGATGACATCTTCAGGCAGCGTGGCTGTGCCCCCCCCTGTGGCACAGGGGGACTGGCCCAGTGCTTGCTTCAACGCTGAGATGGTGTCACGGAGCACTGAGCCACCAGAGCTGGAGGGCCAGTCGACGTGGAGCTGCTGCAGGACCTTTCGGGTCCCCTCTTTAGTGAGGGCAGGGACCAGGCAAACGCCGACCCTGTGACACAGGGAGGAGAGGCAAGGGCTGGCAGCGTGGGACGGGCGGGGAGGGGTGGCGGGGGGCGGGTGG